GGCAGCCCAGCAGCAGCAAGCACGGAGCTCCCGAGGAGCTCCTGTAAGTGTATAAAGTGTATTTAAAATGTGGGTTTGGCATTCGTGAATATTTGAAACCACAAATGCCAAACTCACGAATAGCGAGGGTTTCCTGTATGTGCATGTGTATGTGTGTGTATGCACGCACGTGTATGTGTGCGTGCAACTGCACATGCGTATGCGCGTGCACGTATGCATGTGTGTATACATAAGCGTGTATATGTTAATGTGAATGTGCATGCGTATGTATATGTGTGCATGCATGTGTGTGTGCACGTGCATCTGTGTGCCTGTGCTTGTACGTGCCTGTGCACATATGCTTGCATGTACCGGCCCGCATGTGCGTGTGCACCCGTGCGTGCGGATGACGTCAGTGGATGCACCGAGCCCCAGCTCCCCTCCGGCTCCTCCCCGGCTCCGCTCCCGGGACGGAAACAGCAGCTCCGACCCAGCGGGAGGGAGCGCAAGGGCCAGGCCGAGCCGGCCCGGCCGCCTTACCCGCACTCACCATCCCGACGCCGCTAACGCGAAGGCTCCCGGAAGTACCTCCTGGCGCGCCGGAAGTTCCGGGTCCGCCTGGTCCAGCCTCCGGCTGCGCCCGCCCCCGACGCCCGCGTTCCGGCCTGCGAGGCGCCCGCGCCTCAGACAGAGCCCAGCGCCCCGGCGCCGGCCCAGCACATTGCGGGCACCGCACTGCTGCTTTCACCCCCGCGTCCATCTTGAACCTTGCCTTTAATGATGCTTTAATCTGGGTGTGAGCCTGGGGGAGAGCCAGGCCCCAGCTGCGCTTGGCTGGGCCGCGATGGGGATTCGGCGCCAGGTCAAGGCCATTGACTGGCTCCCCCAGTGCTGTCTAGGGCAGCTTCTTCATGGAAGATGTTCAACGCATCCATAGACTTGGGTGGATTCGCTCCCACAGGGCAAACTTCCCCACGTATTGGTACCCCATGGATTTGGCGTGAGCCATGCAGAGCAGAGCGCTCTCCTTGGTTTTATCTAAGCGGCCAATGGCCCGCACTTATGGTGTGAGCCTGCCCTCCTGCATGGCTACATGGCACCAGCAAGACCTGGAAGGAGCAGCCGTTCCCTCGTGCCAGCTAACGCTGCCGGGATTTCTAAGCCTGGTGGCATATTGCAACCCGACAGCGCTAGTGACATGACAACCTGTGAGGGTAGGATGGTGACTGTCCTGGAGACCGCCTGAGCTATTACGTGTTCAAACCTGAGGCAAAAATGAAGTGACTGAATGTTTCTTAGTGGTTTCTTAAAATGGAAACGGTTGGAAATGCATGATGTCAGGGGCTGGAAGGGACCTCTCCAGATCATCAGATCCAGCCCCCCTGCGCTTGGGCAGGAAAGACCGCTGGGACAGGTGACCCCAGCAAGGTGGGCGTCCAGATGTTTTTTGAAGATATCCAGAATAGGTGATTGTACCACTGTGGTTGGGCGAGGGGAGTCTGTTCCAGACCCTGGGCACTCGAGTTGTAAAGATTTTTTTCCTTATGTCTAATTAACAGCGGTCTTCTAGCAACGTATGACTGTTAGTCCTAGTTTTCCCCTGGGGAGCCTTAGTGAAAAGACATTCTCCCAGCCCCTGATGTTCGCCCCTTATATACTTATAGGCAGCCACCGAGTCCCCTCTGAGTCTTCTCTTCTCCAGGCTGAAGACCCATGTCTCAGCCTCTCATCATATGGCCTGCTCTCCATACCTCTACCCATATGCTTGGTCCTCCTTTGGACCCTCTCAAGCCTCTCCACATCCTTCCTAAAGTACTCCAGTACTCCAGCTGCAGCCTCACCAAGGCCAAGGAAAGCGGGAGGATGACATCCTTAGTCTTGTTTGAGATGCACTGGTATACAAGTGTTTGCTTTGCTCTGCCAGCTGTGGCATCCCATTCCCTGAACGTTCAGCAGTGATCCATGCCACGTCAGAAAAGGAGACCTGGCCAACGTGCTGAAGTCTGGAGACCATCCCATGCAGGAGGTAGAAGCATACAGACAGGGAGAAGAACATCACACCATACCCACAGCCAAATTTTTCTGGTAGTATTCCTGGAGATAACATCTGAACCCTGGACTACAAAGCAGGAACTTTGGGGCCGGTTCCTGCATGGAAGTCCTAATGCAAAATAGGATTGGGGGAGAGGGCATGAAAAATGATAACTGGCTGAAGCATGTCCACATTTAAACTAGTAATAAAATGACGGACCAGGAATTAATTTCTTGTTAACACTGATTTTTCCATATTCCATTGGCCCATGGTGAACCTTTGTTGGCTTATCTGTGCTTTCCCCTCATCTATTATCCCCTTTTGCTCTGAGCTGCCCATGGTGTAATGATTGTGCTAGTTCTTCAGCAACTGCTGATGCTTCCAGGCTAGACCAAAAAAAATCTAGTGCTAAAAACAACACATCCAAGCCTGTCAGAGGAAATTTTGGTTGAGGTGGCTTCTCCAGCTTTTCAAGTCTTTGTCATTTGCATGAAGGACTGCCCCCACACTGTTCCCCTTTTTTGCACCTCTCCTTTGTGCATGAGTTGGTGTAGCATCAAACACAAACACATTCCATCACAAGTGACTCTTCTTTGACACATCACAGAACAGGAATTAGGCCATGACATTGCACAGTATGGGTGCTTTTGGATTGCCATTGGAAGGCAAATGAACAAGGAGCTCATGGAGGAGAAAAAGGAATGTGTTGCTATCCAACAGAGCTCTAGGCTAAGGGCCAGTTTCTATTTCCTCCATTCTGAGAGGGGGAATGAATGGCTAGAGTACTCCATGCCTATGAACAGGACTATCCCTTTGGAAAGGAAATGTTGTAATGTAAGTTTTGAAAAGGTGAATCCTGTGACCACTTGAGCCAACTAACACGTATCTGGAAAACTTGTATCTGGAACTCAATGACTTAGACTTAAGTCCGGCTGACCAGCCAATAACCATGAGGGGGAGCACCAACATACAGCCATTTAGCTCCAGGTATGTGCTTTGATCACAGTTATGGAGGGAGGATTGCAATGAAAGTCACTGGCATGTGTTTGGCAGCTGAGGCAAAAGACAATTTACAGACTTGGTATTGGCATCCACTGTAAGATGTCAGTTGATGCCCACTCTTCCACTGGTATTACCCTGGTTATTTTTATCCTGTAACAGTTTCAGTAGAAGCAGATAATGGAGTGTCAGGATTTAAGACTAACACAAGTAGTAGGCAGGTGTAGTGTGTATCCATGGTAGGCAGCACCAACCATGAAACTCCACTGTTGAGAGCTACTGATCACAGGTTCTTTAGATGTAAAAAAGCTATGAAGACACATACCATCTATATATTAAATCCAGGCAAAGGATCAGTTTCAGCATTAGGTGTGCTGTGAGCTGTTAGTACCAGGTTTATTTTATAAAAAATGTTTTCGGTTCCAGAGACATGTATCAGAATCATCACTTATAAGGGTGTTTCCATGTATGTGTATCCATGTAGGATATTTTACAAGGCAGAACCTATACTGACAGTACCAGAACCAGCACAGGGTGGGACTTTGATTAATCTAGATGTCAGGAACACAGCATGCCCTTCCTGGACATGGTTTAGTCCCATTTATCCTGTCCTTAGTGACTGCCCCTTTAGGCTCCCCTTCTCCCCTCCCCACCTCCTGTAGTTAGGATGGTGACACCAACAAGGGTTTCTGCTCCTCAAGAGCATGACTAGCCCTCTTCCTTTCCTGCAAAAAGAGTGGATTCCCCACACTCATCCCAGCTGTTGAAGGTCTACCTGTTTGGAAGCAAGCAGAGCCTCTTGCACTCTTCAACTGCTGCTGAAGTGGCTGTGGCCGATTACCCCCTTCTTCCCCACCTTTGCAGAGAGCTGAGCCTTAGCATCAGCTTATATCCATGCAAGCAGATGTGAGCTGCCCTAACAGCTATTGATTCAGGCAGTTGTCTATAGATCCTGCCAAGACATCTTGGTACGGGTTATGGTGGGCTCACAGAAGAGGTCCCATAAAGGGCTGGAAAATTTAGAAGTGAAAGTTTAAATTCCACTAGAGTCATGTGGTTTCAAAAGATCTAGGCACTGCAGTGCCCGTACCTTAACTCCACCTGCCTCCAGCAAGCAAGCAAACTAGGGCAGGTTTATAAGGATGTCTACTGTCCAGGAAAGACCATGCATATCTTCGGTTCTTGCCCATGTTATGTTACCTTACTTGAGACAGGAAACCATTTATTTGGCACACTGAAGTAACTAGCCAGTTTGGCTTGAACAGAAATCATTCAGGCCGTTATTATACATAGAAAACTGCTGCGGAAGAGACTCAGTCAGGGAATCCTTCCTTTCATCCTCCCTCAGTGACTATTCAACAATGTTTATACCAGATAAGGATATCGTTCCCCATGGAAGAGATACATTCCACCTTTGCTGCCCCTGTTTTGGACAGGTCCAACTGAGTTTAGCCAGCCTCTAACAGAGACACCCTCATGTAGCACTGGCCAGAGAGCAATACCTTTCAAATGGAAATTTGATTTCTACTCACTTTGAGCAGAGACCTAGACTTCTAAGTAGAAAAGCCTCTGAAGTAGTTCAGTAAACAGGTGTTTTGTTTAATGAGATTTTTATTGGAGACTGGTTAGGAGATTATGTCCAAGAGCCTCCCCCATCGTACCAGGGTGTATTAGGCATCCATTGTGGAAGTAAACAAGAGTCTTGTGCAATCAACATGGGCTTGCTAACAGAAGAGACTGAAGAGGTTACAGAAATGCAGAATCCAGGTGATTTAATTAAGTGAACTTCACTAGTGGTTCACCTGAGTTGTCACCTGCAAGATTCAAGTACAGTACAAAAGGTAAGAAAGCAGTTCACTTTTCAGGAGAAATCCAGACATCTCCCTCTACCTTTCAGCATGAAATATCTGAATAATTCCATTTCATATATCAGTAGGCCTAACTCCAGAGGCAGTGGTGTCTGTCACCTCTGATTTTGGCCAAGGTAGTATGCCTTATATTACATTTGAAGAGCTATCTCCTTTGGTTTTTTGGAAGCTAAGTGGAACAGTTCCTAGCCTCAAGCTGCACTTTAGCAAGTTGGGGTGGTAGGTGAAGAGTACCCACTCCAAATGCTGCTGCCTTGCCTTCCAAGGCAAAGTGTTTGCCAAAAGGCATATTGCTCTGGTCAAGTCATTACAGATTAAAAACAAACAAACAAAAATCTGTCACTACGTCCCAAATACATCTGTCCAGTTGAATAACAAACAGGTTATTTCAAAACTAGTATAAAAAAAGAAACTATAGACAAAGACAGTGCCACAAGTTAAATATTAGCTGGCAATCTGGTCCCATTGATGTTACCACGGTAATGTTTCGCCTTGCCAGTCTAGGAAGGAGCCATTGTGCTTTTCACCAAGATTAGCCAGGACTGAGAGGATACCTGGAATTGAATCTTCCACCTGTAAGGGAGCCTAAGATTAAAACAAGACAATTATTTGAGACCATCCTTTGGGAAGGACAAGCAATAAAATTGCACTTAACATTTCTGCTAGAATGAGACAAAAGCTTCCTTAAATGTAACATTAAATACATCTTGCAAACTAATCAAGTGCACAGAGCTTTGCAACATGTAGAATTAAGGAGCTGCAAAAGGGGACTATAAAGTATAAAGGACATACATCTATATCTATAATCTTTTAGAGTTTTTATAATATAACAATAAATAAAAGGGGTTGCAGCAACAAGCGGAGTCCTACTTTTGTAGTTAAAGAAAGTCTGTAGGTCACTAACCAGGTTTCCTCCCATATCAGTTTGAACCCATCCTGGGTGCAAAGAAATGCAAAGAATTCCATCTGATTTCAAGTCTGCAGCAAGACACCTGGTGATCATATTTAGTGCAGTCTGTAAGAAGAAAGACCATATTTCTTAGTAGAGCAGTTTTACATACTATGAGGTTCCAAGCCAGCTGGCATCCTATTTCCATCACCACTCCCCTTATCAAATCAAGTGCTTCACCTTTTGGGCAAGTACTGATGGCTAGGAAGTAAGTGTCTAACAATACAGGAATAGCCCTGTTAATATCAATTCTAGGATTCTGAAAGTTATAGCTATGTACTCCTGATCCCTGAAGGCCAGGCACCTCCCAAACACTTAGGGTTCCTATACACATGCAGCGAAGCTGCTCTGACATGCTGTAGTTACAGCACGTTGGAGCAGACATGATTAATCAAGTCTGTTGGAGTGTGGTAATTACTCTGCTCCAGACTCCAGCACCACATGTATCAGCATCCCTGCACTGAAAAATGGCAGCGGGGGTGCTTTAACTAAAGCTCATTTGATGAGCTTTAGTTAAAGCACCGCCCCCCCACCCCGGCTTCCATTTTTTAGGGCAGGCACACTGATACACAAGATGCTCTGGGCACTCTAATTAGAGTGGCTCTCAGAGCAGCACTAATTAAAGCGCCCTCCCCCCCAATTCCCAGAGCACATGTATAAATGCTCTTAAAGACTAAGAATACAGGCCACAGCCTTTATGCTCCTGCCCAGCCTACCAAAGGAAGCTGCTTCATATGTTTATAGGGAATGCTTTGTGCCAGTGTGGTTGTGTTGTCTGAGGATACAAGAAAAGCTAGGTAGAAAGAAATGAGCTTTCCATTTTATTTCCAAAGTAGCTGGGACCCAGAATATTAGCAGCCGAGGTGAAGGTGCAACATGAGTGAATTTGACGTACCATTCAATCTAGAATTTGACCCAGGCAGCCACCTTTATGCTGTATCCATCCTTGATCCAATATTAGTCTGTGTACAACCACCACAGACCCTGGCTGCATAGGCTCTTGAAACTCATGTCCAACGTTTTCTGATTAATGCCACCATTACAAAAATAAAAGACTACATATTGTAACCAGTTTAATGCCTCTCATATTGGTCTCTTTGCTGAGCTTTGATAGAGGTACACTATAAGGCCAGCTAGGCACATCCTTGGCCTGGGGAGGCCTCCCTAGAATTCTAGGTCCATCTCTAAAACAACTCATTTCAGAGAAGTACCTGTGTCAGGACTTGAATGCCTTGTGGCAGGAGGTTAAGGAACGTGGCATCTTTCTCTCAAATGTAAAACCGGGATGCCTCAATGAAAGTTTTGCTGGAAACAACTTCTAACCGGTTTTAATTTGTGCTGACTAGCAAGTAGCTATATGCCCAGTAACCAAGTCACTTCATCATTTCTGGTTCAATTTTAAGTTTAGAATCCACTTGGACTCATAGATTTGCATCCTTCCAGTTGAGCACAGTTTTGGGAAAGACTCACCTTTGCTATTCTGTAAGGATACACTTTGAGGAACATCTCATTTGCCTGGACCAACTGCATGGAGGCAGCTAGCGAGGACATGTTGATAATGGCAGCTCGGTGACACCCCATGCCAGTGCTCAGTTGGGCTGCTTTTCTCAGAAGAGGAAGAAAAGCCTGCAAGAAAAAAGTCATTACATTTCAATTCAGCTTCAGTTTTACCTGACCACAACCAGTTTCAGACTCAAACTGTGTTCTACTGAGTCAAGTGCAATATGGCCAAGACAATTTTAAGCTAACGTCTCTGTAAATTGGCCAGAAAAGATCCCCTGTGTAATACCTAGCTTTAGCTAGTGAGTTCATTGGCACCTGAATATAACTGGGCATAGGATTCACAAAAAGCTGCCTTCTATGTGATTCTGGACACCTGGTACTGAGGACTTCAGAAGCAACCCAGGAAGACACTAAGCATGGAGCTTTGCATAAAATTGAAGGCTATGGAAGCTGACCTTGAGGAGGTCTACTGTGTGTACTATTCATTGCCTAATCCAGCGGGTTGAGTTGAGTTGAACTGACATCTCCATACTAGTTGAGTGCAACAGATTAAAAGCTTTCAGAAAAAACTGTGTTTCTGATGGGCAGAGGCAGGAACTTTAAATATTAACAGGGGTCTAAAAGTCACCAAAAGAGGATGGTACTGTAAGGAGGGAGAGGCCAAAGATCAGTTATGCAAGTAATGCATGAAGCGCAGAGTGAACCCACATTTCATTCTTACCTTGGTAACCATCAGCTGGGCAACCGTGTTGGTTTCATAAATGGTGAGCATTGTTTCAGCAGTGACATCTTCCAGGGAAGCAAGCACATTGATGCCAGCATTGTTAATGAGGCAGTTCAGCCCTTTGTCTCCTACAATCTCTTCTACTTCCTTAACTACTTTTTTTATGCTGTTTTCAGAGACCACATCTGCCATGAGAAGGAAAGGGAACAGCAGTAAAATGGATTGTGTATGCCAACAATAGCCTATGTTACAGTACATTATGTACTGGAACTACAAAGCCAGAGCATCAGTGTGGTTTAGGGCATGTTTAGGCAATGTGTGTGGGTAGCATTAAGTCTCATCGCAACAGGCATGGAGAGAACTCTCAGACAAAAGGAAAGTTATATGGCTCACATCCTCCCCTTCCCCTTTCTGCCCAATTCTTCATCCACATTCTTCCTTTTAATGAAGATGTTAAGGAAAAACCTCACTTCCTACGCTGCAATCATACAACACCAGTCCCAATGTTCACTTTATTTCCACTTTCTCATATCCAGATTGGAAGGTTTGCTATATCAAAAAAAAATTGGAGACAAAATAGTAGGAGATCCAGGTCCAGCATCGTGACTGTACTGGCGCTGATCATGAAAGGATTGTTCTTGGGAGTTATCAAAGCCATTTCACCCATATGAAATCCAGACAGACTGAGTGCAAATCCTAATTTCAGGGTTGTTTGAATGAGATGGTCTACTGGCATAATCAAATACATGCGTCTGGAATGAGAGTTAGGCTACAGATCTCAAGTGCCATAATCAGTCTAGGAGAAAAATGCCACTAGTCTATGAGTTCAGTGCAGACAGCCTTACTAATAGGCAAACTAACCATGAAAGTCAAATGCTGTCAAACAATAGAAGACAGGAAAAAAGTGGACAGTATCCTGGCAAGTGTGAGTTAAGAATTAAGGAGGAAACCTGTATATGACTACTGATATTCAACCCTCCCTCCATGTTGTATCTCAAGACCAACCCCCCCACCTTACTTGGAGGACACATTTCTGTTATAAAATGTCCTTTCACTCACCAAGTTGAAGCAATCTGATATTGTTATATTGCTTGCTGAGCTGCTGGAGTTCCTAGAAAGAGGAAGGAAGTTTGAAGTGTGTTATCTTCCCTGCATGTGTTTACAGCTTTCTTTTCAGGAAAGCTCAAGATTCAATCTGGTTCTCTCATTAGGGCAGGATGTTGGGCCCTTCTGCAAAGCCAAGCTCCTTGTGATCTGCTTGTTAAAACTGCTGACAGCCCCTCCACCATGACAGTATCCTGGTTATAGTTTTTATTGCTCTAACCTGGAAAATGTTCATATAACAAGTCTAGCCACTGCATGAGGGACCTTGGGGTTGACTCCATTCCACGAATCCTACCTTGTCCTGAAATCAGTCAACCAGGTATTGCAATACCTCCCACTTAGAGAGTCAGCATCTGAGTCATTCTCTGTGGCTATAAAAAGAACAGTCCACTATTTGAGATGAGGACACCTCTGTACTTGTTGCAGCAATCAGCCCAGGACTACTTTAAGCAAGGAGCATGTGATATTGGAACCTAAAAGGGCAAACCCTGAGGAAGTACCTTTTATCAGACAGCTACACATCACCCCAGCAACTTCAGTTTCCCTGTTTTGACATGCACGGCACAATAGATTGTTACAGCAAAGAACTGTCATACCACAATTAAGCTGCGCCAAGTGAGGCAGGCTCAGTGAAATTACAAACTAAAAGTTTGACTGGCTAAGGGAACAAGAAAAGTCCCTGTTCTTTGTTCTCGCAGGAACGTGACTGGCTCTGGTGGCATAACTGCCAATAGGCAAGGTGTGTGTCAGACTCAGATTTATAGGCCCTGGTAGACTATTTCCACTTCTAGGCCACGAAGCCAAGAGTGAAACCTTGCCAAGTGAGACAGACAGACTGCATTCTTCTTTGGCTTATTCGAGAGATGGAATTCCCACAGTCAGACATTCCTGGAAGGTGTGGGCTTAGCGGCCCAGGAGACTGAAAACATCTGGAACGAGTTCACTCATTTGGGAGCCCTTCTGGAATGGGGGTCAGCCACAACTTGGAAAATGCTCTCCTAAGGGAGGGGCAGCTTCCCTTTTCAGAGCTATTTAGAGACTCCATTTTCAACCTGCCTTGAACTACAGAATAATGCACCACGCTCCAGACAATCAGCTCTCAGGTCACACTTACAAGAAGATACTCCATTGCGGTTACCTAGCGTAGTTTAACTAGAAGTTAGGGCCCACAGTAGGCCATCTATCCAATATCAGCCCTCTCTCTTCCATCTGGTGCGCCTCTCAGAGTAGTTTCTGAATGCTCAGAAAATTCAGGCAATAAGAGCTACACTAAAAAATCAAGAGCTAAATATAAAATATCCCTCAGCATTTATCCACATTTCTGGGGGGAAAGCACTTTAAAAATACTGAACGCAGAGGTATTTGCATGACAGCATTTGCTTCACACTGGACTATCAATCCCTGGGTAGCAAATTCATGGCTCTTTGCTCTCCACTTGAGACACCATTAGATATTGGTGCATCAAATTAAAAGAAATTAAGAGAAGATACTGCTAAAAGGGGCATGGCATCACTTGTTCCAGAAAAAGATCTCATGCTGAGCAGAGAGCATAGGGGGATCTTCCCCGTTCTTCAGTACTCCCGAGACAGCAAGAAATAGTGTAGTGTAGCTACTTATCTGGCAGTCTTTAAATTATTTCATCTTAAGCTTCCATGAAACACAGATGTCTATTTTACAACCTGGTAGCTAAAAGTGAGTTGCCAGTTCTCTCGAGTCAGCTTTGCAGATACCATTAACAAAGAATCTCTGTTAAGCTAAACTATCAGTGATGATTACATCTGAGCCAACATGAACAATCTGTAATAAGCCCCTTAGTAACGGGCTTAGTGTAACTGTGCCTCAATCCTAGATTAAAAATACTAATAATCACAATAGTTTTTACACTTCTCTTGCTAACTGGACTTCAAGGTGTTACTGGAATGTCTCTTCAGAGAACGCACATTTACTTGAGCTAAATTGTTTGTGAAGTTCTGTTTCCAGTGACTATGCAGGTGTCTTTAAACCAGGATAGCTAAAGAGAAGATTTAGCCAAAAAAGAAAATCTAATTATTTAAACACAAGCATATCTTAAATAAGCCTATCTGAATAATGTATGGGGCGTCAAAGCCTAAGCTTCCTATAATGTCTTAAGATTTCAGATTTAATTTTTAAAGTCAATGTTTTAAAGCAAATTAGCCTGCAGTTTCACACGTCCAGTGGTTTAGACACCCAGTAACAGAGCTCAGAAAGAACAAACCCAACCTTTCACAGCAGTAGCCACTTCAAGGTGCAAAGAGAACTGTGAACAAACTGAAACAATATGGAGGAACAAGTTTAGAATCAATCTGGGGGAAAACACGGGAGGACTCTCCCTTTCTAAAACCTGGATCTCTGGGGCTCTCTAGGCAAATGCCTTAACTGCTTAGCTATTGGGGCTAAAAGATGGGAAGACATTGCTGTTGCTGAGTCCAACACTTTGCTAATCATCGGTTTTGGCCTGCCTACAATTTTTGGCTGTGGATTCCAGTGTGCATCCACAAGGAGCATGTGTACACAGTAGGCATATACATGGCTAGTGCGTAGTCTAGTGTGCATGCTCAGGCTACACAGGTAGTACACATGCCTGTAAAAGAGCACAAGTTGTGCTCTGTTACTCAAAGGGGTGTAGGCAAGCAGCAGAGCAGCCTACAGGTGCTGCACTCCCCATCAGGCACAACTGCCTGACCGGGAACAGAGCCCACCTGTTTGTTATAAGAGCAGGCCTTGAGCAGTGGAGCCAGAAGTTAGCTGCAAGCAGCTGGGAGAAGAACACTGCCCAGCTACAGCTGTTGCTCATGTAACATCTTGGAGGTACAGGGCAGGAGCTATGGGGATGGTGGAGGCTCCTGGTCCTGGGGCATGACCTAAAATTGCACCCTGCTGCGGTTGGACGGTGTGGTGGGGCTGCCGGTGGCAGGGTAGTCTCCAGGAAATGCCACACCTGTGCCTCCCTGGTGAAGGGCAAGTATGGGGTGCCAGAAAGCCTCAGCCCCCTGCCTTGCGGGTTACCTTGTGGAAGGGAAAGGCTAGGGGAGCACACCCCGAAGACAAAGCGAGGACCCAGGTTTCTGGTGTGGAACCTGAGGTGAGGTCTAGGTCATGGGAAGGGACCTGAGACAGAGCCCAGGTCCACAGTGAGGCCTGAGGTTCACAAAGGGAGCCGAGTGTGAGGCTTGAAGGGGAATGGGATCCTGAGCCAGTTGTTTCATCAAAGGTGTAGCAGGAAAGGCAGGTGGGCAGTTAGCCCCAAGACAAGTGGGCAGGCCAACGACTAGACTGGCCCCAGGATGCCCACTTGTTATAGTGCCTATATATGTGTCCACACTGCCAGGAAACAGAACAGCCACCTGCGTGTAAGTGCTACAAATGCCGTGTAGACAACTAAACCCCTGCCACTTGGATGATCATAGAGAAACAGAATTCCACCCATGGTGGCTACAGACAAGTTTCATAGGTATCAAACTGGATATCTTTAAAATGTGCTGATAATATGGCTTATGACAGCTTGGACAGAGCAGTTGCTACTTAGCTTATATTCCAATTTCCATGGAAATGCAGCATGATAGCAATGTAGTAAATAGGGGAGAAAAAAAACACAAACCTTCCCTCAGGACCTTAAAAATCTCAACAAGTTTGCTGTGTGCTTATGTCAGCAATTATGCAGGTTACTGTTCTGTTAGCATAAGGAAATAGTACCAGTTTTGGCGGGAAGGCTCTTTGTTGCTATCAGCCAGCTGCTTTACCAGACCAGCAAAGGAATATAAATACAAATCACACTTAAGTCAGCAAGCAGGAAACTCTCAATCCCCTCTGTTTGACATTCCCTGCCTTCAGCTCCATCTGACCCACTGGTATATATGATCGCTATTTCTAGGTTGCATCCAAAGCAGCTGCAATGCATATGTCCGGTTAGCTGGATTTATGGGTAGTTCCTTAGACATTTCCCTTTCCCAGTAAGAAGGACTGTTGAAAAGGCTGGAGTTTTGTAGCTCTCCAAGGGTAGCCTGAAGGTTCCCCAGCAATTTCAGTCCAGTTAAGAGTGACCAAGTCAAACAAAACTGAACCCCCTGTTGGCAGCTCCATCAAAGTAGTAGAGGACCACAAGGGCAGTGGAAGATTTATGTTTCTCTTGACAGCTTGAGGCAGTCCTAGATAATGCCTTGCCTAGATGTTCCTCTTGGCCTGTTGAACAGACTTTGACCTCTAGGTCCTATAAAACAGCAGTTCTCAACCTTTTTTGTACCAGGACCCATTTGTAAACATCTATGGGCAGTCCCAACCCAGTGCCCCACTAACCCCTGCCCCCAGCCCCCAAGTGTGTGGGACAGGAGGTGGGTGTATGGGACAAGGGGGGGGCCCCCAAGCAGCCACTTGCAGGCTGCAGCTCTTCCATCCTGCAAGGGAAAAGCCACAGTTTCCTACTTTTTCTCTTCTTTAAAGGAGAATCCATTTTTAAAGTTTTCTGATTCATTTTTTGTTTGCAACCCTTTCATATATATGTTTTTGTGACCCACTTTTGGGTCGCAATCCGTGGTGTGAGAAACACTGCTATAAAAGATATCACCTCTTCCATGAATTTTGATTCCTTTTGCCTCTAGACCGATCTGGCTACAACCTGGATGCCTTGGCTTCTAGGGTTATGCCAGCCACTTTCGTTGAATCAGCTGTACATCGCTTCAGGTCATGACTCCCATGCGTCTTTGGGTGGTGTTTATCTTAAAACATTCCTTTTAATTACTTACAACTGCATCTAATCTATGGTCCACTGTGACTCAGCAAAAGCCAGAAACCAAGGAAAATGAGGCTCTTTCCTCCCCCACCAGACAAATACAAATACAAAAAAGCCCCAAGGAACTGATAAGGTTTCAAAGCCTTTCAGAATACATCTTTTGTCTTGGAGACCTTGATGTGCCTATCTTGGCAGGACACATGTTCTTGTCCCATAGAACATCTAAGTCCTTTTTTTGTCTAGCCGGCCACACTGAATACCGAGTTCTTCATCAAGCAAGATTTTGTGCAGGAACATTCCAGTGTCTCATTTGCTGCACACGGTAGCAAAGGGAACAGACACAGCACTGTTCATAACAGCATCTCCTATTTCAAAGGATGAACGGCAGCACATTCTTATCACTGGAAGTCCTCCAGAGAAGAGAAATGAAGGATTTTTGGCAAGTGAGGGATTTTAAAGCATTTTCCTATATAATCAGGGATACACAGCAGAGAGGAAAGAAGGAGAACAGTTTCAATGTGAGAGTCTAGGATGGCAGAGTGTGTCTCAAAATGATCTGGCAGGATCATCTTCTAGAGGGGAAGGGAGACAGGTTTGGGTAGGCGGGCATAATATCCCCTTGGATTTCTTTAGCGCTTGCCTGCCAGGGATTTAGTTTCTCAAGAAGGCATCTCTCCTTGTACAGTACCCACAGCACTTGGTGCTTCACACAATCAAGAGTGGCCTGGTTTAGATGAGAAGGGCAGCCACAAGGTTGCCCATTTCTGGTCACTGGACCAGAAATGGGGAAAAGATGGAATTCTAGGATCCAGGATCCACCAGCCTTCTCAGCACACCTAACGTTAACTTTTCTCCCAGGTTGTCCAAAAGAGCTACAGCAGTTTTTGGTCCTCACAGCAGATGTTCAGGATTGACTTGATGCAATATTTGTAGCCAATTCAACTACTCATGTAGGTCAAGCAATGTGTAACCAGTGTGAACTATGCGCTAACAAAATCAGATCCAAGCTGAAGGGTCTAGCATATCACTCCTATGAGGTGGATAATAATTACATCTATAGGGAGCACTTGCAGGCTTGCTCCACTTCATCACATTATCAAAGTCCATTTGTTTGGCAAGCTCACTGCAGAGAATACTTGGGAATTATTCATCTCGAGCCACAGTTTTTGGAATCATAAGCTCGCCTGCAACACTCTGCTGCTGTTCTACATTATCGCCGCAGAGATGGGCACTGCCTTTTCTACTGGGGGAGAAAAATCAGGCATGTCCCTCTGCACCAGGGTGTTCTTCCACCTGGGAAAGTCTTCATCTCTCTGGAGGACTTCTGGGATAAGAGTTGTTGCTTTGGGTTTTCCCACACTGTCCACTAGCTCTTCATCCTTGAGGTGGAGTAAGTGGCTCCAGTTCAGAGCCAGCTGTATCTAAAGTGACTTTGGAGGGGCAGAGTCTTTAAGAACTTGGAAGTTTCTGAGCTTGAAGCTTCTGCTTTTAAGTCACGTAGGTCCAAGCCCAATGTTGTACTTAATTCAAGCGGGGAAAGAAGGGAGGAATACCAATCCTATTGTTCTTCTGCTCGTTCTTGCTCTCGCTCGCTCTCTCTCTCGCAAGGGTGAGATATGAGGGAAGCACATCTTACTGATTTAGAAAGTGAGAGTCCACTCTGGACTACACTGCTTGGGAGGGTAGAAGGAAAGGAAAGAGCTGAGTTTTGTGTTCATGTTCCCTTAGGATTTCAGCAATTAAAGTTAGAAATGCCATTAAGATTTATGTGGCAGTTTTAAGTTATTCAACATCCTGTTCCCCTTCATAGTGGTTTCTGAAGACTGCCTTTAGAAATACCCCGTAGCAAGCTGAAGTGGTGGTATTTTCAGCCTCCTATTTTCAAAAGGAGATTTATGATATTGATTTAAATGAACTGCCTAGAGACCTCCATTGTGTTCACCAGGGTGTAACATAAAGAGCAGTCCCTACCCCAAGTACCTTGCAATCCAAGCAAGATAGTCTCCACTGGATCCCAGGCGATTATCAGACTGCAGCTTTAAAGCTACCTCCTGTTCCCTGCCTACACAAGAGCATTGTGTTTACAGAATGGCGAAGTGGTTGGCCAAATTATTTTATGACCAGATTCCAGGTTTCTGTGGACATAAGCAAGATCTTTAAAAATCAGGCCCATTTTCTTCTTAGAAAGGAGGTACACTAGTTCTATTGGCTCCTTTATCCTCTAGTGAGGTTCAGTGGTTTCATTTTAAATCAGAGGTGGCCAACCCACAGCACATGTGCCACAAGGGGCACAGACAGTCTCTCTGCGTGGCACACAGCGGACTGGACAGAGGGCTGGGAATACAGCGACAGATAGGGCAGAGAGCACAGGGTCGAGAACAGAAAGGAGAGCAGTCAGTCAGGCAGGAAGCACTGGGCAGGGAGCAGAGCAATGGATCGAGAAGGGGAAGGGAATCAGAATGGCTCTCAGAGAGGATCAGAGCCGACCTCTTTGGCAGGCATGCCACAAGGTTGGCCCCCATCATTTCAAACCATGCTTTCAACTTGCATGGAAAACTTAACAGCATGCACATGCTATAGTCTTGTGTACCTCTAGAAATTAGGAGAGCCTGCCCTCTGAAAGAGCTATTTCATTTCCTCAGACAGGGTCGGCAACATTTTTGGGCAGTGCCAAAAACACCTGTAACCTCGACTTGTAAGATGTTGGTGTACCAGGAGTAGATGGTAGAGGAGCCCTGAGGGGCCCAATCCTTGTGTTATGGTAGCACAGCCCTGGCCCCTTCCTGTTGGCCACCCCAAGGCACACATGCCAAGCAAAATGCCTTCGCGTGCCACGCTGCCCTACAACCTGACAGCATACTATACCCTATATCATGGATTAATAAAAAGGGGTCTCCCATCCTGCCCTTCCAGCCCACCCTACCAATAAGAAACAAGAAATTGTAGATGAAGCATCCAATCAAAAAGATTATATCTGGCAGGTTGCACCTCTCCACCAGCTTCACGCATAGAAAGCACTGTTGCACAGTGTACACTAATTTGTCTAATTTGTTCCAGATATGCTTCAAATTCAAGATCTTATCATAGGAGGAGAAGCAAACACAAGACTAAGTGGTGTAGCTTTGGAGGCTTTGAGAGATTGTGCCAGGCTATGGGATCTGAAAATTGTTTTCCCCACAGAGTATGCAAGTGCGTACACAGCAGCATTATGCTGCTGGAGAACGAGACAGGCTGTCACCTGGAGGTGAACTGATCGGTCTGGTTCACGCTCTTGCGCTGTAATCCAATCCCAAAATTAAAGTGTTATTAAGCCAATGAGAGGAAAACAATAACAAATTCTCCTGCAAGCTTTTATGTCTAATATGGTCTCTGACCAGCTGGGGAACACAGAGGATCTCGTGAGTGCTATAGGGACAGATATTAGAAGACAGAGGCTTCTTACATGTTCAGAGGTTGATTTTACAAGGGGCAGCATGCCTTTGTATGAGGAAAACACGGTTTCTAATGCTGTTCCTATCTGGCTACATGCCTTTAATATGATGGGATAATAGCCACCTTTGAGAGCTCCTTTGAGCCAGGCATATGAAACAGGAGCACAGAGTTTGAGTTTTTGTGAGCTCCTGAATATGTTGGGGTATCAGGCTTTCATTTCCTGCTCAGTATAGGGAATGACAAGGTTAGAAAAGAAGCCTTTTCGCTGTGTTTCTCTTTCAGCCGAGTCCCTCCATCAGTTTTTGAGCACAGCCAGAGGGATCTGATGAAAAAGCCTGCCAGATGTAGTGCCCTCAGTCTGCCGGGGCACCATTTAAAGGCACAAGGAACACCCGCTTGGAGTATCAGAGAAGCAGGAAGGGACCTCCCCAGGTCATCTAGTGACAGCGGTTCTCAACCTTTTTTGTACCAGGACCCATTTGGAAGCAAACATCAAGGGCCAGTCCCGACCCAGTAAATAAGTAGAAAACAGCCCTCTGGCCCTGCTGGTCAGCCCCTCACTCCCAACCCACAGCCCCCCACAACCCCAGCACTCCTGACTTGCTGCCCCCTGCCCCAAGCACCAGCCCCCAATGTGTGGGGACAGGGGGTGGGTGCATGTGGGGCACATGCCCCCCCAGATTTGTGTGCTCACAGTAGGCACGGGGCTGCAGCCTGGCCAGACTGGCGCAGGCAGGAGCTGCCTCTGCAGCCCAGCAGGTGGGATGGCGGAGCAGGGCAGCGAGACTCATTGCTGCCCCCACCGCTGCCAGGACCCCTGCGCCAGCTGCACCGGCCTCTACCACAGCTCTTTAAAAGAGAAAATACGCATTTCTCCATGACAAACAGAAAACCCAGATCCCTGATTATTAGCAGACACAACATTAACATATAGTGAAGCACAAGCAGCATCTAGTTTTTCAAAAATGTATGCAAAATACGATCCATTTTTAAAGCTTGTTTGCGACCCTTTCCTATATTCTTGCACCCCACTTTTGAGTTGCGACCCACAGGTTCAGAGGCGCTAGTCCAACCCCTGCCTGGAGCGGGAGCAGCCCTATCCAAACTACCCTATCCCCTCCGTCATCTAAACTCTGCACAAGACAGCTGTCAACCCCGACACCGCACAGACCCGACACCCCAACCTGGCACCGGGGAACCACAGCACCCCGCATCCTGCGCCCAGAAAGTGTCGGCAATAGACACTCAAGAGATTCACGCAGATTCACACGAGTTTAGGGCTGGGAGGGACCTTGTGAGATTATCAGGTGCAGCCCCCCCAGTCTGGGCAGGACCCCGGGTCGAATAATATGTTGGAGTACGAGGCTTTCATTGCCTGTTGGTATAGGGAAGGACAAGGTTAGAAAACGAGCCTTTTCGCTGCGTTGCTCTTTCAGCTGAGACCCTCCATCAGTTTTTGAGCACAGCCAGAGGGCTCTGGTGAAAAAGCCTGGCAGATGTCGCGCCCTCAGTCTGCCGGGCCACCCTTTAAAGGCACAATTAAGATCTAAGTACAGGAGAAGCGGGAAGGGGCCTCGGCGGGTCATCTAGCGACAGCAGCCCTCATCCTTTTTTGTAGCAGGACCCATCTGGAAGCCAACATCCCGGGCCAGTAAATAGCGCACGTAGAAAACAGCCCTCTGGCCCCGTACAAGTAACTAAAACGCGCCCCCCCCTCATCCGTCTCCATCTGATCGGGGGGTAAAATGCCTTGAGCAGAGGGGCAAGACCCTCCAGCTGCAGGGGGACGAGGGCCGGGCTGCAGGGCACCGGGGGGGGCCGCC